GATCGTTAGGCCACCCTTTCTTTTTTCGTTGTTTAACGTCCGCGCCCGCGTACCTTTTTGCCTCCGACCGGAAAAAAAACAAGAAAGTAGTAGTACCAATAATATGCGAAGTTGTAAATACATGATTGTGTAGTTTCACAGTGTGCTGATCATGACCTTAAACTTATAATCTTGCCTCCCGGGCATGCCTTTGTCTTGTGTTCTTTTTCTTTTTTTGTTGGTTTTTAAATATCGTACGGTGTGTGTCCTAGTAAAAATCCAGATGTAATGAATTCATGACATGCTAACTCCATGCTATGTACATGTACCTGTTTTGTTGGATTCATCAGGCATGTGCTCCAATGTACCATCAAAGAGTGTTGTTCTATGCCTGCAAGTGCCGTTAGACCCAGAAATATTGTATATCACATGCTTTACTGGTCAAAATGTTTGATTGGGGTTTCCAGTTTTTGGAATGGGCTTTTGTTTTTTTTCCGCCCTCCCGCGTACCTTTTCGCGAAAAAAAGGACGTTAAACAATGAATTAACAAAGGGTGGCCTTAAAGGGGAAGTATACCCTAAAATCAAATTTTCACCAGTTGTAGTCTTCTGGGTGCTGAGTCGAATGGTCTTGGTCCGAGGAAGCTGACACGCTCCCTTCCTCCTTTATTCCCAATCGAACTCGCGCACTTCCACCGAAACTGGGTGACTGCGCCCTACTAGATGGGGATTTGTATGCAAAATGTCACTAAAAGCGCCATTTCGTTCTTATAAAAGCACGGATGACCGCCATTGGCCCATATGTTGTAGTCTTTTGGACGCTGAGTCGACTGGTTTTGGTCCGAAAAGGCTGCGATGCAGCGTTCCTCCTTTATTCCCAATCGAACATGGTTGAACAAGCGGTCACGTGCTCCTGCGTACACCAGTCACCTGGTCACCGTGCCTGCAGGGTACAACTTACTAGCCTGTTTGACCTTTTTTGGGTGCAGTCCTGTCACTCGAGTTGAACTCGAGTTGAACCTTGGTGTGAAAGTTGTCGCCTGCTGGCGCGGTGACCAGGTGATTTGGGCACCCAGGAGCACGTGACCGCTTGTTCAACCATGTTCGATTGGGAATAAAGGAGGAACGCTGCATCGCAGCCTTTTCGGACCAAAACCAGTCGACTCAGCGTCCAAAAGACTACAACATATGGGCCAATCGCGGTCATCCGTGCTTTTACAAGAACGAAATGGCGCTTTTAGTGACATTTTGCATACAAATCCCCATCTAGTAGGGCGCAGTCACCCAGTTTCGGTGGAAGTGCGCGAGTTCGATTGGGATTCAAGTAGGAACGGAGCGTCGCAGCTTCCTCGGACCAAGACCATTCGACTCAGCACCCAGAAGACTACAACTGGTGAAAATTTGATTTTAGGGTATACTTCCCCTTTAATGATATTGGTTGATCGCTAGGAGTTATTGAATGATCGTTTCAGCCCTAAAATTTGTTCCACAATTTTACTATTTTACTTTGTGAGCTTAAATACTGAGAACATGTGCATTTTACACTGCGAGTTTACATGCCTCTAGATTTGGAATATTTCAGGAAGGATGTCAAGACTGAGTGTGCATAAAAGTACATTGGGATGAAGTAGTCGTGAGAAATGTACTCTTTTCACCGTGCATTTCAGTGTACCTATTAAACACTGATGTTATCAACGTTATGGTCCATGGTTTCATGCTGCGAAATTTCAGGGCAACACAACCAGAGGCGAGCGGTGCGTTTTTCCAGGAAAGCACACTGCCAGGAGAAGATAAAACACAATGTCATACAGTGGAATCTGACTTGAGATTTTTGCATATAATTATCTGTGGGTCTTTTCTCTTTCTCTCTCTCACTCTCTCTCTCTCTCTCTCTCTCTCTCTCTCTCTCTCTCTCTCTCTCTCTCTCTCTCTCTCTCTCTCTCTCTCTCTCTCTCTCTCTCTCTCTCTCTCTCTCTCTCTCTCTCTGTCTCTCTCTCTCTCTCTCTATCTCTCTCTCTCTCTTTATTTTTTATTGGCATTCAGACGCAGTGTCGAAATGCATCAAGGGTGGACTGGCGACTTGCCACGCACAAGACCATGATGTCTGTGTCAAATCATCTCACACGGACTGCTTCCAGCTGAACATCACCTGCTTAGAGGAATCCAACGTGACTGCAGAGATGATAGCTGCACACTGCCAAGTTCCTGTCAGCATATTGGGATCATCATCTTGTATCTCCGACTGCATCTCAACATATGCATATGCAACAAATGGTAAATTGAAGTGTGACATCTACAAAGTTACTGTGTTCCACAATGTTTGACCTTGGTGAAATACGATCTTTTTCGAACAAATGTCAGGTGAAGTGTATTATGCATATTGATGTTGACATAGGCATGTAGAAAAAAGGACGCAAGACTGCAAAATTCAGTGACATTTGCACCCCCATTCCCAAACCATTCTTGTTTGTCACTTTAAAGGCAGGCCTGCTTGAGGGAGAATTCCTAAACAGACCCCGAAAGGGAGAACCCTAAAATAGGCCAATGATAAAGATTGGTATTAGCTGGGTCAATCTTATTATAGATCTGCATAAGGCTGATTTCGTCGAATCACCGAATTCTCAGAATCTCAAAGCAAAAAGGTAAGCAGCCTGCTCCGCCTCAAAGCCTTGAGTAGCCAGAGAATGCTTCGTCCACTCGAGATCCGGTGCAGGTCATCCGAGCATGCGTGTTCTGAGTGATCCTTTTCTAGTTCTGTACTGGACAAACGTGCCTGAAGCGTGTCCCACTATAGAGGTTTTCCACAAAGCCAGCATGCTATGGAAATGTTTACCGCCATCTCTCACTTCTAGGACCTGTCTCCCCGAATTCAAACACTCCCTCTTCCATCATTTATTTTCGCCGATACACTCACTACATTGATGGCATACCAACACCTTGACCTGTGCAATAGCTCTGGTTGCTTCCTTCCTTTCTTTGTTTTCTTTCTTTGTATTGTTGTACTATTTCCCGACTACATGGAATGCCTGGGAGTAGGAGATCACCTCGACAAGCCCATAGCGGCCTCTGGGTAATCCTTTAAATACGATATATACAAAATACAATTATAGGTAGAAAGGAAAAGGACATGGAGTTACAAAAGAGGTCATGCGAATGATTTCCAACTGGGCATAAGTATACATTGTGAGTCAGCAGATGTACTAGCGGACGCTAAGTATGCAGCGCGAGTCGCTAATGCATTTGCATCATTGTGCTGCGAGTCCGCGACTTCAGTAAAGCATCTCAAGAGAGGGATGTATTTCTTCATTGGCTCTCTGAGACAGAGCACTATTCGAGTCAGGGCACTATTTAAATAAGAGAGGAGTGGGATTATATTAACAAGCACGCTCTAGACCTCACGGCAGCTGAATCTTGCCCGAGGATGCAGCCCACTGTCGACAATGAGTGGTGCGTTCCGATACAAGATCAGAGACCATCACCTGCAAAGAGCGTGTTCAAAACTGTCGACCTCCAAACCGCAGCAATTTTCCTAAATTGTTGTCAAATGGGTATGAGCAGATTAGCATTCCGCGCACGCAGACGGCATGCAGGCAGGCATACATCATTAGCATTCCGCGCACACAGACGGCATGCAGACAGGCATACACCACACGAATAAGGCTAGGTTGTGTTGGGTAAGTACTGGTGACGAGGAACTGGTTGGTCTTTGCCGCAAGGTAGGCACGAGCCCGTGAGGCTGCGAGTGCCGCAGAAAGGCAGAAGCCCGGAGGCTGTGATTGCCGCAGGAAGGCAGAAGCCCGGAGGCTGTGATTGCCGCAATGGAAAGGCAGGACCATAAGGCCATAATGCCGCAATAGAAAGGCAGACCAGTTATGAGTGACTCGCCACCAGGTTTATTGTACTTGAAGTAGGAATGATGCAATGTAGTATTAATGGTTAGTGGTGGGATGGTGGGTCAGCAAAAGACAAAGGCATCAGGATGCAAGTCGGGCATGAGCCAAAGCAGAGAAGACTCAAAACTGAGAATGGCAAGGAGATGTGCCACGTTGCGGACTCGGACCCGATCAAAACTGAATTAATTATTGTGATGGCGTACGCATAAATTAATGTGATGCACAGCAGGCGGTCTTGCCGGTCGCGGCAAGGCGCGCTAAACAAGTGCCGCGGCCAGAACCGTAGAGGGCGCTGTTGCGCAGCAGATACGTAGTTGCGAGATGTGCGCCTACGCTAAACTGAATTCATTACATGAATACATCATTAGGCTCGCATCGGGAATGCCAGCTATTGAATATTGTCCTAGGCAGAAATCATGTGAGCGATTCTGTGTGGTATACAATTATAACTTCTGCAATGTGCAGGTTCCTTCACTAATCGGACTCACACCAGTAACTGCAACTCAGTCCTGAAGAGGAGCCAGTGTCTTCGAATTGTCGGTTCCTCCGCTGAACCATGCTCGTCCATGTATTCTGAATGCCGGCGTCTGCAAACTACGACTAACCAAACATCATGTGTAGCAAGGGACGTGCTCGAGAAGTCCTGCAAGAGTTGCAGTAAGAGAAACTTGTAGGATAACATACAAACAATGTAAAACTATTTATGCACATTCAAGGCAAACTCACTCAGCATTAAGTTACCACTCTCAGTTGTGTACCTCTGGCAATCTTCAGCCAATGAAATATTGGCGTGAGAATAATAAAGTAGGCTTTCATTTGCTATGTATTGCATTGATGAGTCCACAAGGAGAAGACAGCACTCTCTTATCCACACATCAGTCTTACTACAGTGGCTATACTAGTGCCATATTGTACATTGTAGATGTATATCTGTTTTGTACTGTAGGTGTAGTTTTCTCACTCTATACGGTTGGCTTGTTTTGCTATGTTTTCACATGCATATCTCATGTAAACTTCATAACTTACTTACTTATTATTATTTATTTAACATCGGAAGCTCAACAGTGCAGCTGCACAAATATGAAGAGGCCGATGCTGAGGTTCGGCCTCTTTTGGCCGATATGCAGTCGGTCTAGTCATGTACCTTTTGGTGCTGCAAGTGAAATACCTGTAGGCATCTGTGACTAGCTTGCACTTTTTTACTGCTAGTATAGGGTGATCAACACTACATAGATCATCTGGAAAACACATTCATTTGTTTGAAATATCCGGAAAAGCTCACTTTAGTCTGTGGTTACAGTCAACCATTTCCTCTTCTGCTGTCTTTTCCATTGTTGTTGCTGTCACCTATTGACTGCCATTGTTACTCAGAACAAGGCCCAGAGGAATTGCCAATGTCGGAGAACTGCCAGAAATGGCTTTGGAAGCATAGGAAATGCTTCACACTGATCAACGCCACATGTGTGACTCTGAACAGCACATGCATGAGGGCCACAGATTTGGGAGTGCACTCCAACTGCTCTCGATACTACAGGAAGCATCTCCTCAGAGCTTCTTGCATACATCGATGTGGCCAGCCAATACTAAACCCTTACTGTATTCAGTCGCAAAGCACGGTTGGCAACTGTGCTGCTCGTCTCACTCTGTCAGAGATGCCTCTTGCCTACAAGAGGGGAGATTGCAGACGCCGAAAGCGGCGACATCAAGTGTCTCTTACCTGCCCGGCAAATCTGACAGATCTCTTTACAAGGACCATAGATGATATCAAGGCAATCCAGGTAAGCTTGTTAATGTGTGCTTAAATCGTGGTAGCGACTTCTTCAGCGATAATGTTATATGAAAGATGGTTGCTCACCACAGTGGAGCTCGCGCTTTTCGGCCGGCTTGGCTTTACACTTAACACGAGGCTGACTCACGACAACGTGTTCCACTTAACACTAGGCTGACTCACGACAACGTGTTCCGCTTAACACTAGGCTGACTCACGACAACGTGTTCCACTTAACACTAGGCTGACTCACGACAACGTGTTCCACTTAACACTAGGCTGACTCACGACAACGTGTTCCACTTAACACTAGGCTGACTCACGAGAACGTGTTCCACTTAACACTAGGCTGACTCACGAGAACGTGTTCCACTTAACACTAGGCTGACTCACGACAACGTGTTCTTGACATAGGTGTAACTAATACACAGGCCCGGCGGAACCGGTCCGGCGGAATCGGTCAGTCACTTTTTGGCCACCAAGGTATGTTTACTGCTGAGGAGGTCATCTGTATACCCTCCATATCTCCATATCTCCGTATCCTAAACAAAGTATGAAAGGCTAGGGTATGGCCGGACCACTCAAAACTGATTCCGCCGGTTCAGATACAAGACATGCCCGGTCATGTCATGTCCCCGGTCAGGCTGTGGAAATTCCATGGTGTTGCAGAGCTCATAGCTGTTTCAAAATTCGGTTCGAGTATTAGCTGCGCACTTGTTTTGTTTTGTATATGGTCCTTGCTTTGTGGAGTCCGATGTATTATTTTAAAAGGTCTAGTGTACGTATAAGTATGGCATGATGTGTGACACGTATGGTATGTGGTGCATGCAAGAGTATGTGTTATCAGAGTGTGAGAACCTGCTTCTGTCTGCAGCATGTCAATACCCTGGTACATTTCACTTTGTATTGATCTGCCTCCAGGATATAGAGAACATATCAACCCAAGCTGCCATGATGTCCAGAGCAGCCATCGCACTACACCAGAGTGAGTTTATGAATCAAGCCGAATTGGATTGCGCATTGAGTCATCTTCTGAAGTCAATCAAAAAAACATTTGGCAACAGATGCAGATGGCAAGGCCGCTTGATATTTGCAGAGAGCGAGGAAATAATGGTAAGCAACAATAGGTGAACTCTTGTTAACTCAAAGGCATAATGGTTTCAGTCGGAGCTTGGCAACATTAGCCATAATGATAAATTTCACCCTTAATAGTGGATGGTGAATTATCACTGTCCACCGAGGAAGCAACATGACAGCATGGTCTAACCAGCTCCAAATCCTGATTTTGTGTAAAAATATCAGAACAATAATTGTACCTCGTACTAGTGAATCTTGAGATGTCACGGGGTGACTGGAATGAATAGATGCAGTGATTCTTTTGTATTGCACTGAGTGTGAGACTGTATGGCGTTGCCATTCATTCAGGAGGTATATGAATATAATCCACCACCAGCAGCGCCGTCTTGGCAAATGTGCAATTTGTTTAGAGAGCCAGAGATTCTTCACACAAGAATGTTATCTGCAACCTAGGGTTCCATCTGTCGAAATTACCCATTTTAGGATAGTAAGGCAGTGTGATGACAGATCGAAACCAAGTTGAAAACTTACCTTTTCTGATTTCAGATAAAAGATTTGACACACAGCTATGCAAATGTGCTAAGCTCAATAGTTGCACGATTGAGTTGCAGGAGGACGAAGCGGAGATGGTGCAGAGAAGGTATAGATTACAGCACCACACTGAAGAGTTCAAACGGAGATGCTGTTGATGGACATCGAATTGCCATGTGAGTAGACTAGTATAGTATTCAGTCATTATAGGTATCGAAAAGGGGCTCTCGAAGCCCCTAAATAGCACCTCAAGCATGAATAAGCATTTCATTTGCTTCTATTCTCCTTTTAGGAGTCCTCAGTGGTGCTGAGTTACCAGACGAAAATATCATACTACACCACTAGAGATAGTGTGGTATGATGATAATTATTTTCTTCTGGTAACTCAGAACCACTGAGGACTCCTAAAAGGAGAATAGAAGCAAATGAAATGCTTATTCATGCTTGAGGAGCTATTTAGGGGCTTCGAGAGCCCCTTTTCGATACCTATAATGACTGTGTTTTAAGTGTTTGACATGAGCGATCCTGGTGTATAAAAGGCTGCAGTGGAATCTGTCAGTACTTTGAAAAGTTCCAATCCTTTCTAGACAATTACCTGGTTAGCAGCCGATCGATCCTATACATCAGATCGTGCAAAAAGATGCCTGGACTCGACTTGACTTTGCGATATATCTGGAAATGAGTTGCTGGCATCCTTCGTCAGGAATCCAGGAGGCAACCTGACACACACACATGCACACATGTTCTGGACTTGTGTCTCTTTCCCACGCTCTTGCAGGGTGCTTGAATCAGGTGAGGATGTCCTGGACAGCATACCACCAGTTGAGAACTCACTCTTGGCAGTATCAACACCACAATTAGCTATGTCAGTTGTCTGTCCACCAGTTTCCGATTCGGTGTTCTCTCTCGATGCCCTGTCTGCTGGAGATGAGGAGGAAATTGAAATGAGCGTTACTGGTGAACAGACCACGAGGCAGGATCGGACATCTCTCCTATCCATCTACATGCCCGTTATCGCTGGAGATGAGAACAGTTTAGCTAGCACGGGCACTGAGGCTGGTGAATGTCCAGTGATTCCAATGCAGTTCATAGTGTTCAAACATCCCGATCTTTTCACAGATGTAGGCATGAGTGATAGTGAGTACGAAGTAGTCACACCAGTTGTCAGTGCTGCGTTTGCCAACACAGCCTCAGCTGCCCTGAACCTCACTGCTACACCCGTCAAAATCGTCTTCAACATCAAGGTGAGTGGCAATGGGTTCATACACGGGTCAGAAATTGGTCTGCATGGGAATTATGTACACTAAATAGTATCATCCTCTTGGACTGTTAGCATGCAGTGTGGCTGGCTCGGCCGTGTGCAAAGCTACGACTGTTAGCATGCAGTGTGGCTGGCTCTGCCTTTGCAAAGCTACGACTGTTAGCATGCAGTGTGGCTGGCTCGGCCGTGTGCAAACCTACGACTGTTAGCATGCAGTGTGGCTGGCTCTGCCTTTGCAAAGCTACGACTGTTAGCATGCAGTGTGGCTGGCTCGGCCTTTGCAAAGCTACGACTGTTAGCATGCAGTGTGGCTGGCTCGGCCTTTGCAAACCTACGACTGTTAGCATGCAGTGTGGCTGGCTCGGCCTTTGCAAACCTACCACTCCAAGAAATGTACAGTAAACCCTGTGACTAACGACCACCCCTTGGGGCCAGAGAGAGCGGTCTTTAGTGGCAGGTGGTCCTTAGTTAGAGGTTTGCACCGCATAACCATATGAATGTGAGACCATCCGTGCCTGGCGAAGTCGTCTTTAGTGCCAGGCTGGTTGCTAGCCACGGTGGTCTTTAGTTACAGGTTTTACTGTAGTAGCAGGCTGGTTGCTAGCCACGGTGGTCTTTAGTTACAGGTTTTACTGTAGTAGCAGGCTGGTTGCTAGCCACGGTGGTCTTTAGCTACAGGTTTTACTGTAGTAGCAGGCTGGTTGCTAACCACGGTGGTCTTTAGTTACAGGTTTTACTGTAGTAGCAGGCTGGTTGCTAGCCACGGTGGTCTTTAGTTACAGGTTTTACTGTAGTAGCAGGCTGGTTGCTAGCCACGGTGGTCTTTAGTTACAGGTTTTACTGTAGTAGCAGGCTGGTGGCTAGCCACGGTGGTCTTTAGTTACAGGTTTTACTGTAGTAGCAGGCTGGTTGCTAGTCACGGTGGTCTTTAGCTACAGGTTTTACTGTAGTAGCAGGCTGGTTGCTAGTCACGGTGGTCTTTAGCTACAGGTTTTACTGTAGTAGCAGGCTGGTTGCTAGTCACGGTGGTCTTTAGCTACAGGTTTTACTGTAGTAGCAGGCTGGTTGCTAGCCACGGTGGTCTTTAGTTACAGGTTTTACTGTAGTAGCAGGCTGGTTGCTAGCCACGGTGGTCTTTAGCTACAGGTTTTACTGTAGTAGCAGGCTGGTTGCTAGCCACGGTGGTCTTTAGCTACAGGTTTTACTGTACATATACCTATGAGTATAAATTTATCATTGGAACTCCATGTTGCTGTAGGTATCTACTGAATGCCGGAAACGATCTATGTCAAATGGGAAACCGGCTCTCTCACCAAGACTACGCAGAGGTAGAGTGAAAACATAAAGAGGGAACAAAGCCTGCTGTCAGTATTTCACTTCTTGTAGTCTTTTGGTCGCTGAGTCAAAAGTTATTTGGTCTGAGAAGCCGAGGTGTTCTCTTTGTCCTCTATTCTCGATCACATGTGTCCACTTGCCATGACTAGGAATGAGTGAGCCAACATTGGAGTAGTTATCGGTAGGTACAAAGACATGGCGACATGGAGTAGCTACTGGAAGTACAGTTGGTCGACGGCGGCTTGCAATAGGGCAAGTATAGACTCTTTTCATCAGTGGAAAGGTGTGCTGTACATGTACACAGTGGAGAGGTGGAATGCCGTTATCACCGTGTGCACTGCGTAACGGACTCAGCCAACCAGTGCTCTCGGCTTGCCGTAGCGCTACACAGCATGATTGTATGTTTGTGCCTGTGTGTCTGCATGTCTGCACGTTTACTTGTCTGCATATCTATCTTTCTGTGCCTATGACAGGGTCTAAATGTTGACTCCAGTGAAGCACTGTGTGCATACTGGAATATCACAGAAAGTAAGTGCTCTTTGACTTCCACATCCCTTGCTTCTTCTTGTGTTGAAGTTTAGTTTATTATTGTATGTGTTCCCTGAAGAAGTCTGTAGCATGATATTAAGAGACTGGTCGGTTGAATATGTGAATGTCCCCCTCCCCCCCCCCCCACCCTCTGGGTCTTTGTGTTGTATTGTATTGTTTATTTACGGATTCTCCAGAGTTAAATGGCCCTCTGTGTCTTTGTATGCATAGATTATAACAAGGGACTGCGTGTATATAGAGATATATATATCTGGCTACAAGCGAGGGTCCCTGGTTCGAGTCCTGGTGGTGGCAGTCAATTTTTTCTTCAGACTTTTCCCGTTTGTCTCTTTCCCTCAAACCAGTTAAGATATATATATATATATATATATACACTCAGACACAAAGGATCTCCAAGTTTCTCAGTGTTGCTACTCTGAGTTTCGTGCAAAAGCACTCTGAAGTTGCCTGAAGAGTGCTTTTGCACGAAACTCAGAGTAGCAACACTGAGAAACTTGGAGATCCTTTGTGTCTGAGTGTATAACCCCGCTCTGTCTTAGGACATTGAGCACTTTTTTGCCGACGCAAGAAATACTTCTATTGTTCTATATATATATATATATATATAATTACTCAATCTGCGGACAGAACTGTTTCGTCCTTTGTGGACTCGTCAGCGCAGCACAGAGGAAATGAGGCCGAACCTGATAGCAATGGAAATAAAAATTTCCAATCAGGCCCGAACGTACCTTGCCATTATATACCAGTATAAAAGCCGAGGCGAAGCTGAAGTTTTTATAACTGGTGTGTATATCTCGATATACACGAGGTCCCTTTGTTATAATATATTTATACCTCTCCATATTCACCGTGTGTGGCCAACTAATGGCTTGTTCCTCGCTGATAACTACTGCTAATTTCCCTTAGTAGTGTATATGGAGATCTATACACCACTAAGGGATGGCATGCCTAAGACTGTGGGTGTATATGGAGTGAGGTATAATGTATTGTATCGTATTGTCTTGGAGAGGGAGAGGGGGGGGGGGGGGCTGTCATCAAATATTGTGTGCAATGCATGTGTGTATTTGCTCATCTTCAGACAAATGGCTGACAAACGGTTGCTGGAGCAGTGATGTGGATAACACACATGTGTCTTGCAAGTGCAATCACCTCAGTAGCTTCGCTCTTTTGAAACCAGTAAGTCTCCAGTGGCGGATTTAGAGGGGGGGGGGGGGCGAAGGGGGCACGTGCCCCCCCCCCCCCCCTTCAGAAGCGCCGACCGACTTTTTTTTTTGCTGATCTCAATTGAAACCGAGCTCGCGCGCACTTCCTGTGTAGATGACAAGGCCCAGTCGCTGTACTGCATGCACTGTACACATTCATGCACTGGTTCACCGGGTCCGTAGATCGATACGCGGTACGCGTGTACTGAACTTGTGAACTGTCAACTCTCGTCGCGTCGATCTGTATTCCGCGATCCGCGATCCGTGCGCACCAGAACTACGGTTTTGGTCTACTGCACTGTACTCGTAGTACGAAAACAAAGACGGTACAAGTGCAAGTACACAGTCCAAAACTTCGCATGGCAATGCGTAGATTTTCCTGCCCTTGCCTTGCAAACTTCACTTGCCTTGGCGTTCCAGAACCTCGTTGTTGTTTTACAGGAGTTCGAAAATGAAGAGAAGGAAGCAACTTTTTTTTACTATACAACTTGAACTAAATAATTACATCAATTCATAAAACATCACAAACATCATAAAACAGGTCTTTTTCCGTTTGGTTGGTACAATTGCTGATTGTTATATTATACCAATAGTGCCCATACATTTACATGTTCGAGTATCACAAAAGTCATTGTAAAAGTAAACTTGTTCCATTGAGCCTGTAGTGTGCCCCCCCCCCCCCCCCTTGTTTCGGATCCTGGATCCGCCACTGGTCTCTGCGTTCTATGCTGTGCTTGAATGTACATCAATGCCCCGAGGGGGGGGGGGGGGGGGGAAGTGGGGTATGCAGCATCCTGTTCAGGGACCGTCCGTCAATACCGATTTTATTTTTCTTTAATTTCTCATGGTGTCCACTCCCACATGCAAGATGCATAGATTTGGAAATGACCTTTCCTGTACTCCTCTTCTGGAAGGGTGTATTGCTGTTTGCTCTTTTGCCTTTCCTGTTACAATTCATACTTGTATTTTTTCATTGCTGCAATTTTAGGTGTCATATCTCTTACTTTGGTTTTCTGTAATAGTTCAATTGTGTTGCTGTGTCTACAAGGATTCCTGATGAGTGTTGTACGAAAACGTTGTTCGAGTCCTAGTTGTTTTCTTTTTTCTTTTCATTCCACTCACTTTTTCTTTCAAGGTTCAGGGCGACACTTTTTACAGGAAGCTGTTCAACATCATCACCTACACCTGTTGCCCACTGTCAATGGCTTGTTTACTGGTCACCATCTTTATAATATTAATATCCAAGTAAGCTCTTTAACCGTTATCATGTGTAAACCATAGTAGTTTGCCTGAGATCGTGAAACGTGGTTTATCATAGCTGAAGAGTGCACGCAAGCTGAGGGGCCAAAGGCACGATAGTCCAGGGGTTCTCGAGACACCAAAAAAAGCAGGAAACACAAGCGGAAGAGAAACCTCCATTTTTAACGAACCACAGGGATTTTCTCTCATCTTAAAATGTCGAAATTTTTAATACCCTTGGCAACTGAAGTGAATAACATAACGTTCGCGTAAAGACTCGGTTAGAGGAAGTTTTCAGCATCCGTAGGAGAGCCACCATACCCAAGATTCTAAAGTGGTGGGCGGTGAGCAGATCAAACCCACCGAGAAAGTGGTCAAAGATCAAGAATCCTCTTCGCTGCATCAACATCGTACACTGGAGTGGAGATCCCGCGAAAATACAAACATGCCTGTCGCGAGTACAGCCATGTGAATTTCAGTTGTCGACGCACAGCAAGGCTTTATAAAACGAAAGCCTGAAACCCCCTGAGTTTCACATATCGTTTTAACTCTAATGAAACCGATCTCCGGGGGAAAGGCTGATGCACTTAGTTCTTCCAAGTGTCTGTATACTGTATAAGTTGAAAAATTCGTCCGGAATTTTATTCCGTCTTTTTCGTCGAAGGAGTTTTCGGACTAAATTAAATGCCGGACTAACGTCATTTTATCCAGCTTTTCGATACATTTTACGGTCCAGGACGAAATTTTCGACAGGACCGACTCCCTTTCTTTGGAGTTGGACAAAATTATTTGACGACGAAATTGTCTGCTTGTACAGTACTAGGGTAGAAACAAAAGTTTGTATGGGGTGCCAGTAAATACATTCTTCGTTCCCAACGCACTGAAGTTGCGTGTGGACACGATTGTACCGATTACATCCTCCCCAGCAAAGCTATAAGAACCCTTGTAGGCTGGTTCCCAGGAACCCAGGTCACAGGAGCTTGTACCCCAGGAGCCTAAGTCCTAGAAGCCTGGGACCTAGAAGCTTTGGCCCTAGGAGCCTGAATCCCAGGAATCTGAATCCCACCTCTCAGAAATTTGACCTTGGTTTTCTTCAGTGTCACTGTCTGAATGATATCATAGTCATGGCACGCATATTTTACCCCATCCCGCTTACTTTTACACAGTGCTTGTCACAGCAACCACAGCGTTCTTTAGAATGGCGGAGTTTTTGGGGTGGAGAGGTGGGGTAAGAGAAAGGGAATTATATCCACAATGGACTCCCCCTCTTTTCGGGGGTCCTGACTCGCTCACTGCAGCCCGGATGATGCTAAACATCAATTCACCCTTTTTAGTTGAAGTGATTAAACAGGTACTCATTGTAAAAAAAAAGAAGAAAAGTTTGCCAGTCTGCTTTAACGCTACATCCGGGGGTACAATTGCATTGACACAACCAACTTAGGACGTTTTATTCGTACAGTCTGCTGCACTCACGGTGCAGCTAAACGAATGACACACTGTCCTGTGGTCTTGTTCTGTGCCGCACAGAAAACTCCGGAAGATGAGGTTAATGAGACTTATTCTACAAATAAACATACCGTCAAGTGCAACAGCTTTCTTGATACCGTTCATGACATCAACGGGCAACGTGGTGGTATGCAAGACAGTGGCCATGTTGCTGCATTTGAGTACACTTTGCACGTTTGCAATGATGGCTGTAGCATGCTCAGAGCTGCACCAGGCCGTTTGCCGCGTCTTTCACAAGAAGAAGAAGAGTAAAGTGAGGAAGTACGCCTGGATCATTGCTATAGGTAAGGAAAGTATCAGAGGCGCCTCTGGGTGGCTATGAAGCCGAGGTCCTAATGAAAAAAAACAGTGAGCCAAGAAAATGGGTTGCTTGTGTTTCATATTGCACATTGTTATTCTTTTGTATTGCCAAGAGGGGCACCTGGCCGGGGATGGCCTATGTACTCCTGCTTGTTCACATGTTTGTTTGTTTGTTTCTTGTGATGCATAACTGGCTGGGCGAATGGCTACAGTGCCGGGGTCCACCTTGCATTGCCAAGAGGAAAATATGAGCCATGTAGTGGCGTTGTAAGCGTGACTGACTGAAGTTGTCAAGAGTGCCACACTATAACTGAAAGTACAACTGCACAGCAGAGCGGTGTACAGTTCCATGGGCACTCGGCTGCAAGCCAAAGAACGTCACATGGCCATCTATAAGTACATCAATACGTCAGAGGATCTTTGAACTTTCCTTTTCCACACACCACGGATAATAGGGCTGGACATTAGCAGAGGCTCTCAGTTGGTACGCCTATGGGCATTCTTGTCCTATCCAGTCACCAGCCCATCCGGGACCCGCCATGTCTGCACCTCCCCATGCATACACACAGTACGTATACACCGTACCGTACATGATTGTATGCTTTCCTTCAATCCTGTTGTCACCAGGATTACATCTGATGCATGTAACGGAAATTTAGTATTTGTGAATTTGCTGTTTGTCTTGCTGAAAACGGTGTCACTGTGAGTTTGTGATGTGTTTCGTTGCGATGCGATGTTTGGGTTGCTATTGGTGCGCTGTAACCTGAATAAATCGTAGAGCATAGCTCATGCTCTTCTTCATTGCGCTTTCCTTCCCCTCTTTGCCCTTTCCGAACCTGAGCCTTCCAAGTTGGAAGGTTGTTGGTTTGCGCATTGGAGAAGTGTTGGAGCTAGTTCACAGGTCGCTGAATGTCTCAGTACTCCTTTGTCAGCTTTGTGCCATTATGTCGCACTTGCTGACTGTATAGGGTTGCGTTGGTGGACAGTTAGTCATAACTCGTAACATTTTGTCCTTCTCCTTTTCTACCATAATTAAGTTGGCTCGCCATCCGAGTTCAAATCGTAGAGAATCATTTTATTTTTATTTGACTGTTTCCACTTTGCTTTGCTTGTGTTTGCACCCAGTTATACCCGTCATGATCGTTGCAATAGCCGCAGGTAGCACTGCAACAAATGCGTATGGTTCCGACACAGAGTAAGGGCTAGATAATGACGACTGCACGTATTGTGTTCTAGCAATGTATCACGAAATGCGTACACACTTTCAATACATTCTCCATAATAGAATGATCATGGTCATGCAGTAACAACATTAAAAGCAGTGGCCAGTGTGTTGCGGCCATCCATCCGCAATGCCTGGCAGCTTAAACTGATATTATTATAAAGCTTTTAATAATCATTTCGGTAACTTCAGTCCATACTGTACTGGGGAAGTGCATAAATATGTATACTCTAATTTCAGAAATTTTCGGTGCTCAATATTTTCGGTATGAGGGCAACAGGCTAGGTTAGGTGAACAGAAATTTTCGGTACAGAGAAGCAGTTCCCTATTGGATTATGATTGTGTGCTGGTGTTTGTTCGGTGTATTGAAATTTTAGGTGTGAAACAGACGCACCGAAAGTACCGAAAATAAAGGTACACCGAAAATTTGTGAAATTACAGTATACCGGTGCTGGTAGACTGCATGTGACTATAGTGATGCTGTAAAACATGTGCCACTACCATATACTGTGGACATTCTGGTTTCCTAAGCAGGAACTTTCAATCCAACTTGAAATTGTTGAGCTTCCATTTATACGAACTTTCACGATTTCAGGCAAGCCCTTGCAGCCGCAAAATTCATATTTTTGTTGACATTGGGAGTGTAGTCCACACGTCAGACTGTAATACTTTGCCATCTGAATTTTGTATGGTCAAATCAGGTGTAACCAGCTTCTCAAAAGCTTTGAAGCATGATCGAAGTTCAGGAAAGATGTCCTAGCTTGTAGGAGTGAAACAACAGCGCAGAGATCTTTTAAAATTGCCTGCCTCGTATGCTAGTACGTATTTGTTTGCACTGCCCATATGTATTGCTTTTGTTTCTCTGCCTTTGTTTGTTATTATCTTCAGATGCTGGTTTGATAGAAGTGATAGTGAGGAGTTCTGGCTCATATCCATTTTAACGTTCCAAGGTCCTATGCTTCTCATTCTATTGCACAATGTTGTTACCGGCATCAAAGTTGTGAGACAAGTAGCCATGCGAGTGAAACGAGAGAATCGTGGCTGGAAGCTGGAACAATGCAAACGTGTGCTGGCCTCCATCACCACCATGTCCGTCATGATGGGTATAATGTGGATCATATTGTGTGTCCTTCAGGTGGATAAACACTTGACAATCCAGATCAGGTTTGTAGTGGTCCAAACAATGCACGGAGTGGCCACGTTTCTCCTGTTCATATTTCGCTCTGCGTCTGTGCGGAAAACCTGGAGAATGTGGCAGAGGAGAAGACGCTCCAGGAAGATGTCCTGCACCAGTGTTACAAGAGGGAGTAGGTCCATGAGCTTGACTTCAACGCGAGCCTCACTGTCATCGACACGCGAGATGTCAGTCTCTGGCAAGAACAGAGCGCAGCAATGGCTGCTTTCAAACTTTTCCTCGGAACGACAATCAGTGTCATCACAAGAACCGTCGCCATGTTTATTGACCAATCACAATGCATGGACATCTTCAACCTCTGTTTTCGAGCCAACAGCAATTGCCACAGCACAGCCAATGATGACAGTTATGGAAGATCCCTTTCCATCAGTACCGCCACCCTCTTCCATGAACCCACCACTAACACCATCAGAACACTCCATGCCGTCAGTTTCCAGCAATTCTAATTTAAGGAGGTCTTCTCCGCCTCCTGAAAGTGCCCAGCAGTACCAACAACGACTTGTTCAGTCAGCCTCTAGAAGAACAACTTTGGTCAGGCAGCCTCGAGATAGCTTGCCAAGTTTCTCCGAGGAAGAAGAAGTAACCATACTGGATGAGGAATCACCAACAAGTACTGGATCTGAAGAAGAAGGTAGATTGTTAGAGGTCAGTGGGACTTGCGGTAACCAGGAGTTGCAGCAAACATGCACGGCCGGAAGCAGCATGGATGACACACATGGATCTTCAGCATCGGAAAATATGAAGCGTATGTGTATGTGGATCGGTTTTAAACCTGCCTTGTTACCCCAGCCACTTCAGTGCATTGCAAATAATGAACTCTTCAACGTTGAGGAATCAAGCACTGCGTGTCAGGTGTAAATGACAGAACAGTTACTGTTTCCAACTCCCGATCATTGCAGGAACAAACCTATCGGGGAATTGGATAGTTTATTGGCAAGTGGAATGGACATCTGTATTGCCAACCTCTTCCACTTTTAACTAGACTCATAGTTGTGTGCAACATTGTGACCAGTATACCATATGGTTGCGTTAACAGCAATCATAATTATATATTCTTGAGATCTCGCCTGTACTCGTTAGCAGTCCCGTCACCATGCTTCATGTGTGCACCTCTGCACATTGCTCTTTGCGTTACCTTCCTTTCAAACTCCATTTGCCAGTTTGTGGTGTTCTATTTTCTCTGGCGTGTCCAGTACACGCCACCAAGCTTCGTTTTCATCAATTGATTTCATGGTGCGGGTATCTGTCTGTGGTCCAACGCTGCACTAATATCTGGGAGATTCTTCATTGCCCAGTGCTTCCAAGTGATGACATCATGTGTTTGTGTGTGTGTGTGTGTGTGTGTGTGAGCGCACACGCGCGTTTGTGTGCGTGTATGTGTGTATGTGCACGCCTGGGTGTGTATAGGTGTGTATGGATGTGTGTGCGTGCAGGTGTGTGTGTGTGTGTGTGCACATGGTGATTGTGTGAGTGTGCACGCCTCAGATCCAGTATCGTTGCTATAAGAGAAAATCTGCGGGTGCATATCCAGTGCATTTGCAGATCTGCGCGCTTCTCTGGAGACGGGCGTATACATGGTATTGGCGTATACATGGTATATGGTGTGTGTGTGCGTGCGTCTGAGTGTGTGTGTGTGTGTGTGTGTGTAACCATACTCTCGCGATTAGAGCCTTCTCTTGAATAGTGCTCTCTCTCTCTCTCTCTCTCTCTCTCTCTCTCTCTCTCTCTCTCTCTCTCTCTCTCTCTCTGTCTCTCTCTCTCTCTCTCTCTCTCTCTCTGTCTCTCTCTGTCTCTCTCTGTCTCTCTCTCTCTCTCTCTCTCTCTCTCTCTCTCTCTCTCTCTCTCTCTCTCTCTCTCTCTCTCTCTCTCTCTCTCTCTCTCTCTCGAAAAGTGGCCCTGTCTCTGAGAGCCAGTGAGAAAACAGATCCGAGTCTCTTGAATAGTGGCCCTGTATCTGAGAGCCAGTGAGAAAGCAGACCTCTCTTGAATAGTGCCCTCCCCAGGCTTGCGATCAAGCGGATGTGTAAGTTTGGTGCTGTTTTGCTAGTGTTCCGAAGTTGTCAATTGCCCTGGTAGATTTGGATCAAAAGCACAATTCTTCTTCTTGCCGTTTCTGTTGAACCAGCCATGATACTACAGTGCAGTAGTAGTTTCGCAAAGTAATTATGTATACAATAAAATTAATGAGGAGGCCGAGGGTTTATGACCAATAAAAACTATTATAAAAACCGAGGTCCCCCGAGGCCGAACCACAGCAGTCTCCGTTGCCTGCAGACTTAGGATAGTTAGTGGGGTCTGCTCGGTTCTGGCATACAGCGCTGTGTTCGAGATTCGTTGTGGGTACGTGATACCAATGATGGTACGTAGTTTCTACTACTAGGATTAAAAATGCCTTTCTTGAATAGTGCCCATCTGTGATAATAATATTCGCGGGATCCGCGTCGGCATCGCTTGAATGTTCAGAAACACACAAACTAGCCTTCGCATCCGCAGGCCACCACTATGCCTTTTCACCTTAGTGCCAATTGCCAATACTGCAATAGTGGCGAGTGCAGACCTCACAAGTGAGCCAGGGGAGAGGAGGTTAGTCTCTCAACCAATCGGGCGTGTAACGGCCCATAACCCTGTAAACTGCATCCTTGTTATTCTCACTCCGATCTGTGAGTACCCAGTTGACCGTGGGTGTCGGTGCAGTTCAACACGCGTAAAAGTCTTTTTTACACGCTCCCTGCTACCAGCGCGGGTCTTGAACTCGGGACCTCATGATTCCCAGGCAGGCCTGCAAACCAATCCATCGGCCATATGCGTTGGGGTGATGAACGTTGAAAGAATAGTGCCCCAGGTCAGCTCAGGGGCACTAATCGCATGAGTACGGTTATTGAACTTCCTTCTACAGCCTAGGTCTACCTGATCTACCCTCGTTAGTACAGTAGACACGGGGGGGGGGGGGGGGGGTAATCGTCATAACGAGTTTCACATGTATCTAGTATCCGGACTTACATGTGTCATTGTGTGACTGCTAAATTATAATGCGTTTCATGTTCGAACGTTCAAGCGTCGTGTGTCTAATAATAATATTTTAAAATGAGTGTTGTCATGTAAAGACGAGGCTCGAGGGTAGACTACGTCTACCCTCGAGCCTCGTCTTTACTAGTAGTCTAGCTCTCTTGTGTGCCTAGTAGATCTACTTAGTAATAGTAGACAGTAGTAGTGGTACCTATCATCCTCTCTCGTGTGCCTCACACACAGCCTGTGCCCCAGTGTGGGAGTGTTGCTGTCACTGTCAGTGCGTGGTGGTTCACTGACACTGCACTGTCTCTGGTGCATGTTCATGTGGGGCAAGGACTTAGCCTAAGGCTAAGGTAGATCTACGCTGCACGCACGACGTGAAGTAGTTGGAGCGCTGTGAACATGGTGAAAGCGGAGGATCTACCTAGCCCTAGGCCTAGTGTGGACGTCTGGTGGCTTTGTGGTCCACTTCCACGCAATGTACGCACAGACGCTTCTTTTTGTGTCGGAATACGATGAAGTAATGGGGGTAACTCTAAAAATGAAGGCTGTGCGTGTACCTGTATCTTTTAGATCTGCACTATGTCACACTATGTGCATGATTGTTGAAAGATGCACATTGTGATATGTCCCCTCGTGACCGCGTAGATCATACTTCAAAAGTAATAACAATGACTTTTGTAAATTGTTGTTTGTGAAAGCATGATTCACCTGCTGCTCACTGTATCTTTGGCTACTACTAATAGTACTATCGTGTCAGTGTTGGACTCAGTCCCTGCTTGTACTTGTGCTTCGTGTTGAACTACAATGCATTACAAGTGAAAATTTCATCAAGTGATGCGTTGCAGTTCGTTTGCATCAAGTGATGCGTTGCAGTTCTCCACCACACCATGGTGTGGTCGAGAAGTGCAACGCATCACTTCTGGGCATCTGCTGACTGTCTCTACAGCTAGCTACAGCCGGTGTACAATGCGGTGAATAATGTAGATCTCTTCGTAGGTGCTGGTTTCGTCCGCCAGCGCAACACGCATAGATCTACACGCGACTGGAACTAACTAAAATACTTACTTCAGTTCTCAACACAGGCCGACCAGGGGATACCATGTAAATCTACCACCAGCGTAGGACTACTGTCTTTTTTTAGCGTGTTACTGATGTTACATGTTAGGCGGCGCGTGGAGGCGACGTCACGCCGATGAAGCGGAACAGACACACAATACTGTGACATACTAGCAGTCATTGTCCGTATTTGTGTAATGACCCAGTCCCAGGTCTACTCTCGAGTTTCGGTCCTTCATTTCCAGATGATGATCTGAGTTGGCCGATACGTATTTTCGCCGCTTTGAAGATAAAAATTATAGCGATGGGTTGTCAACGAAACGCTGCTTTTCAAAGCAGTGAATGAATTATTATTTGCTTCAACAATGCCGTATGCCATGGACTAGGAGTCGTAGAATGCAGAGATTATGGTATGCAAGCGCGAGAGATACAAGCGACACCGCAAAGGTAACGCTACAGGTACGAGTAGTTGTCGTGAAGTAAGAGCACAGACAGGAACAGTTTCAGCTTCTGCCTCAAGCTAATGTGGCATCTACATCGTCATCGTCATGTACTAATATTCCAAACTGCCCGAGATGCTGGCATGATGCTACACGTAGCGTACTGGGTAAGCACAGCTCTAAAGAAAATCATGAAACTTACTTATTGGAGAGATAGATATACGCGTATATGGCGTTGTCCGATATTGGATCTGCAATTATTTGTGCTACTGTAGTTCTTTGCATTTGTCACTATGACGAATCCGAGAGTGGAAAATGTTTTGTGCTGTCAGGATAAACATTGTAGGTGGTCATCATTTCGAATTTCGGATGTTTTGACGGAAACACGTTTACGAGTTTCGATTGCTCGTAGAGTCGGAAAAGCACGAAAACCTGAACACATCTCTAGCAGTATGAGGCACCTACGTATCCATACAAGTGAAGACATACACAAACAAAATAGAAATGGTCACCCCGGCGACCCCCCCACACACACCATACACAAGCGCACACACACCACAATCATACACATACACACAATTATACGTACACGAGGGGCAAAGCAGTGGAGTAGTGTGGTATCTTCCACCACAAACTCTTCTGCGCCAAAGAATGGCAAACACCCTGCTTTGAAACTTCAGGAGTGTGCTAACATCACATACAATTTGCTATCTTTGCAAATGAATATTGGTTTTGGATGACTTTATGTACAGGTGGCAGCAGCACTGTTACTTCTGTCATTTGGACATGCTTGGGAAGGTGCGTGTTATTATGTCTCGTCGATAATTGCCATATTGCCTGCTCAGTATGTTCCGAATGTGACACATTGACCATGCACAGCTCTTGTACTTCCCGTCTAGTAAAGATGATCGCTGGAACCTGTTAGCGATGCAGCATCATCTGCCTACAGAAAGTCTGCATAATATATTATTATAGTTGTGGGCGGTGGGGAGGGATGAGGAGGGGGGGGGGGGGCGGGGGGCTGTCCATACGGAACAGATGAGTAACAAAGCATATTCCGGTAGGTAACGCACTATCTTGGAGTCAAGTGGCTTCAGATGTAGAGTAAACAGTGCAGGGTATATTTGCCATCAGCTGTGTGCTGTACTGGAAATTTACTGTGCTACAGGTCTGCTCCCGTTAGTACAACATCGGGTACAAGACAAATCTCATAAGCAGACAATAAATCCCCAGACAAAATGCATCTAACAGTCCTACATGTAAATCCGGATAAGAGATAATTCGTTTCTAGACAAAATTCGTTATAATGTCACCTTCAGCTGTCTCAAAGGTTCGATTCCCACGTTACAATACTAAGCAAATGGCCATGGCTACGAATTTGCTCGGATGGCTCAATGTTTGCTGCCAGCAACTTGGCTTTAACCTGAGCCTTCTTTGTGAGCCTGCAATCGTTAGTGAGAGCACCATGTTCCAAAGTGATATTTGTTGAGTAGGTGTCTTGGCGCCTTACGCTCTCTGGGCCTTTCTAGGTGTCGCAAGAGATTGTTACTGCCCTGAAACTGAACACATATCCTCATTGTGTCGAAAGTTGCCTAGCAAACGGTGAAGGATAAAGTTAGATAATATTATAGTGATTGGACAGTTGACAAGTTCAAAGTAATTTGTTCGAAGAAAACATGATTCAAGTTTTGCTTGTTAGAGGGAGTACCATGTATTCTTCAGTATCAAGTCGCGCTCCTGTTGTGCGGTTCAGCTCTCTTTAGTTCTGAACCATTCCTTAAATATGGCCTCACTGAATATGTGCTGTTGCCTCTTCTTTTGGGTAATCAAGTTTATGTCAGATTGTTCTGCTTTTCTTTCTGTGTGTTTAGCTGTATGTCTGTGTGCCTGTCTTTTGGTATGTCTGTCCATCTGTGTGCCTATCTGGGTTTTGTTGTCTCCCTCATGTGAATCCTGTACTCAGATGCTAAGCTCAGATGCACGGAAGATTATCTGACCATTTGCCAAGCACGAGACCATCATGTTTGTGTCAAGTCCTCCCAATTGGACTGTTTCCAGCTGAATCACACCTGCTTCAAGAACACCAGCATGTCTGCAGAGATAGTGACCGCAGATTGCCAAGTTCCTTTCGGCACATTGGCAGCAGCGTCATGTATCTCCAGCTGCAACTCAACGTATACGTTAACAATGAATGGTAATTTGTAGTTTACACTAATTAGCTACAATAGTATTTCTTATACTACACGGTCATGCTGAGTCGGTGAAATCTGATTCTCAAAAGATCAAAACTGTAGGCCCATGTTTAAAAGTCGCAATTAGCCAACGCAGAGAAATATTGATTTACAGATCTACCCGTTACCCCTAAAGAAGATGTTGATACATTGTCGTGGGTGTCACTATGACCCTTGCCTTATCCAATGTGAAGTTAGTGCTGAGGTTCTGTGAAAATCAGGACCCGAATAATTATAATTATGGCATTGTCCACCAAGGTATGTCACCAGTGATAATTTTTTGTTTGCGATTAGATCTTTTGCACAGTGGATATACCAGGTATACTTGGTAAATGTTTCCCCTGCCTGAACATGTGTTTCACCTGACAAGAAGAAATTTTTAAATCAACAGCGCACTGGTGAAAGTTTCAAAATATAGAATTGACCTGTGTCCTTGTTCCAAGTTGTATACCTGCGGCAATAGCTCTTGTGGAAAAATGTGGTAAAAATGTGGTAAAATGTGGTAAAAATGTGGTAAAAATGTGGTAAAAATGTGGTAAAAATGTGGTAAAAATGTGGTACTGTACAAACACTTCAAGTACCGGTTACCATGTCTAGTGAGTTGTGTCATTCTTGTGATTACGTGCATATTTGCGGAAGTGTATTGGCATGATGCTAAGTACATGAAGGGTACTAGCGTCGTGCTAAGTTGAATTACCATATTATAGAACGTATGGAATAGACAACATGGATAATGTAGAACGGGTAATTTTAGCGACGTAAAACCCCTAGTGAATTTAGCGATCCACTCCTTTTCGCTAAAGTTTCAAGTCGCTAATCCGTTGAGACATTAGTAGTGCGCTGGTGATCCGTGAGTAAAATCGCTGCAAATCGCTAAAATGAAACGTGGCTAACCGGTTGACAATGGGAAAACGCTAAAATAAATAGTCGCTAAAATTACCCGTTCTACAGTATGGAAGCCCAGTGACCAGTGGTCATTTAAGTTTTCTGCATCCAGCACTGGCTAAGTACTATTGTTTTCTTGTAATGTGATGTGGTGGTATGATTTCTTTACCTAACTTCCAGATTCTCACACATACCGGATCGAAGACAGTAATTGCAGCTATCTACATGAAAGCAGCCAGTGTTTTCAAAAGGTGGTCTCTACTGGATTGTGTTCCCCAGCGTATTCCGAATGTCGTCGCTTACTAGTTGAAACAAACCAAAGCTCATGTGCTGATAACGTCATCAAGAAGTCATGCAACAATTGCAGTAAGAGACATATTGTGCTATGTATCTAAGTAGTAATATTTTACCCACTGCTGTAGACAGCAAGCTGTTTCAGCGAAAAGGGCCTCATCAGTACAGTTACGAGCTTTAAGTGGGCCGAGCCACCAGCCATGGTGCAAAGGAGGCACCACAGACAGATTGCTCGTCGCTCTAGCGCCAGAGTGCTCTAACTACTTGTATGAAAAGTAGCGAGCAATGCGTAATGCAGCAGCACTGGAGTAGCCTACTGGAAAAGGATTGCCAATATTTCGCCCACTAGGCTAAACAGTCTTCACCGGTAAGGCGACCAAAAAAGACCCACGACACACCCAAGAATGCGACTATCTATGTTCTCCAAGAATTCAGGTTTATGCGCCAGCTTTGTGCCCGGATCAGTGCACGTTTGATGGTAGGTGGCTGGCCTGCAGTTCAAAGTAATTTTGTTCTTGTGGCCATTTGCTATTACAATTTTGGATAAAGTGATATTCGGATGGTGCCTACGAGTGTGGTTTCATCCTTTGTTTTGTAATCCCCGAATGATTTCATTCAACGGTTTTGTTATTTGATTTGACTTTGGTCGCCTTGCCAGTGAAGACTGTTTAGTATTCTTGCCAATTGTGTGTGACCGTGATTTATGGGTTCTGCAACATTCATCTAGCTATATTCTAATCATGTAGTTCTTGCTTGCCTCGTGTTGTTTCTCATCAATGCCCTAAAGATGCCTAGTGGGCGAAATATTGGCAATCCTTTTCCATTCATTTCATGTAGGATAGAGCTTGTTCGTGGGAATAGAAGTGTTAGAAGTGCAAGATGGAGTTGGAGAGTGCCTAACAAATGTACTTGACATACTCTCTCATGTATTTGGCATTGCTTTTCAGAACAAGGCCCGGAAGACGTGCAATTACCGGAAGGCTGTCGACAGTGGCTTTGGAAGTATAGGCAATGCTCCATACTGGCCAACGCGACGTGTTTGACTCTCAACAGAACATGCATGAGGGTCGCAGCTTTGGGAGTGCACTCCAGCTGCCCCCGATACCACAGGAGGCGTCTCATTAGAGCGTCTTGCCTTCATCGATGTGGTCAGCCGATATTGAATCCCTACTGCGTGCAGCCTGGCAAGACCGTGAGGGATTGTGTAGCACGTCTCGTTCTAGCTGAAATGCCTCTGATCTACTCAAGGGGAGATTGTAGATGTCGACAACGACCCAGCAGACGACCGCCACCACCGCCTCGGAGTTGCCGCGGAAATTCAAAGGATCCCTTTATAAGAACCGTTGATGGTGTTAAACCAATCGAGGTAAGATTTTGGATAATGCATTGTCAGCATGATATGTAGTCCAGAAGGAGTCAGGTAGAATGCACCTCTTACATCCTTCTTCATTTTCCGTTCATCTTTCACTTGCATACATATATAACCGTACTGATATGGAAAAAATTCTGTTCCAACTCTGCCCACAGGATATAGCAGATATATCTCACCAAACCAATTTGATTACAAAAGCGGCCACAGAATTACGTCATACGAGGTTCAAGGACAGAACAGAGATGAATTGCTCCTTGATACATCTTCAAGATTCAGTCAAAAGAACGTTTGGCAACAGATGTAGATGGCAAGGGCGCACGGTTGTTAATGATGACGAGAAGAGAATGGTAAGCAAGATGTTTGTCTATCTTGCGAACTTACTGTAAGACTACATATTCTAGGGACAAATTAAGTCAGCGATCTCCAGATTTTGTTGCTTTGCAAGGTAAAATCTCAACGAATTCTGTCTATCAAAACTGGCGCCTTGGTGGTGTGTTAGTCATAACTTGTAACTTATTGTTCCTTTCTCTTTGCTTAATACTATTGGCTCAACATCAGTGTTATAGAAAGTGTGAAGGTAAGGCCAGCCAGAATTAATTCCTTGTTACAGGTCACCTGACCGACCGCCATTTTCCACCTGACCGCAAAATGTGTTTTTTATTGCGCATGTACATGCGTGTGTGCACACGTGATCCTAATGATCGAAACAACAAATTAATTATGGGTGGCCTAAGCGATAATTTTGCTTGGGCGGAGTTAGTAGTTAAAGTAGTTGTTTTGTAGTTGGGTTGTATTGTCCCATAGGTGTGGTGGCTGTGGAAATATATTTATATATAAATACTGTCCACTTCATGAAAACAAACGGAGCTTCTCTGCTGAGCAAACTTCTTCTTTGTACATGCTAATGTTCAGGTCAAGAATTTGACAAACGGCTATGCCAGCATGGTGAGCTCAGTTGTGACACAGCTAGGCTGCATGAAGAAGCGAAGAAGATGCTGCAGGGAATACGTTGACACTGGCAGCACCCAAGAGAGTTCTCAAGCCGATCCGGGTGATGGTCGTCAGGTTGCCATGTAAGTGCAGCACGCTTATCCAAGTTCAGTGCGGAAAACCATTCTCACGAATACCATTTGCGAATCCAGTATGAGGTACCGAATGAATCATCGCACCCTAACACATCAACCTGGAACTTAGTTTTCATAAATGTTTTCTACGTGTTCTGCTCTTGTAGGGTGCTTGACTCCTGTGAGGATATCCTCGACAGCATACCACCAGTTGAGAACTCACTGTTGGTTGTATCAACACCGCAGTTAGCCATGTCGGTTGTCTGTCCACCAGTTTCCAATTTGGTGTTCTCTCTAGATGCTCTGTCTGCTGGAGATGAGGAGGAAATTGAAATGATCGTTACTGGTGAACACACCACCAGGCAGAATCGGACATCTCTCCTATCCATCTACATGCCGGTTATTCCTGGAAATGGGAACAGTTTAGGCAGCACGGGCACAGAAGCTGGTGAATGTCCGGTGCTTCCAATGCAGTTCACGGTGTTCAAATATCCCGATCTTTTCACAGATGTAGGCGGGAGTGATAGCCAGTATGAAGTAGTCACACCAGTTGTCAGTGCTGCGTTCGCCGACATAGAATCGGATGACCTAAACTTCACAGCCACATCTGTCAAGATTGTCTTCAACATCCAGGTTAGTCAAGGTAACTCGTATCCTCTTCAGTAACTTGTCTTTTGAACATGGCCTAGCTTATGTCAAACGTACCCACCCTGTACAAGTATTGTCAGACTGGCAGTTTAATTATAGCATCGCTAGTCCTTAGAACTCCCTGTTTTGTATTTTCAGAAGCTCATGCGCAGTTTCAACATTACAACTCAGATTTTGCTAGTACAGCGGAGATCGGAGATAACGACCTCGGTAATATAACGACAGATTGAGTTTAGCGACACAATTCTGGTATTCTGTTGCCCAAGTCGTTTCACAAGTCCTTTGAATACATTTTAGATCGGGTATAACGACCGCGAATATACCAAAAGATCAGATTTAGTGACACATTTCTGGTGCCCGAAGACCTGAAAGTGAATCGAGTGTAAGGAATTTCCCCTACATAAAGTTAGGCTACTATTCCGCTACAGCTGTATATATCAGGCGGACTGGCATGCATGGAATATGTCTGTGCCACATGCGAGGATCTTCGGGCCAAGCGTGTTGTACACCGGGCACTGTACTGCAGAGCCGAAGTGCGATGAGCTGAAATACGATGGACGATGTACTTTGTTATGTACATGCCGTAAGGACTCATACATGTACATGTACATCTGAAATCCATATGAATTATGCACATGCGCATCTGTAAGCAATTCCTGGCATTTTGATACATATTGCATATTCAATTGGAAGATCGAACATGGCGACATTTTGTTCTCTCCCGAAAGAGTGTCGTTATATCCAATCTCCACTGTACACCGATTTCCAAAAACACATGAAGATATTGTAGATACACACTAATCCAGAGATGGTCGCATCATGTACTTGCTAAGTAGATCCTTGAATTTATTGATGAACTTTAAAAATGATTGTAGCATTCATGGGTTCTGCAGTCATGGCAAAAACGAGAGCTTGGAAGCTCAGGGCCTTACGCTATGCTTTTTTGCCTACAGTCCATTCATCGGAAACTGTCCCGCTGGCTTTTGAAAGTCGGATTTGGGCCGAATTGAGGATCAAAAACCCACTTTAAATCTCAAAAATCAGGGTTTTGGATCTGCTTCTCCATACATTTTGCCATGGCATACCTGTCCTAATTTTGTAAAACCTGGCTGAATTTCTATTTCCCTGTTCTTGGACTTTTCTGGCCTCAAATGTGGCAAGGAGTAATTGCACGGGTCACACAATGTAGGATGTACTGTTGTTTTCACGATATCTACAACTACAGTCGAACCTCTTTAGGACGAACACCAAGGGACCGACGGTATTTATTCGCAATAACGGGAGTTCTTCTTATCCATATATCTTACCCAGGTAATACACAGTGATGAATCCAATAGCGCTTGGAATTCTAGTTCTCCTTAAGCGAAAGTTTGTCTTATCAGTGTTCTTTTTTAACGAGGTTTCACTGTATGTGAGAGAGACACCAAAAAGTTAGGGTGCCATTTTCCAATGAATGGACTGTAGCTCATCATGCGTGATGACTGATGGAAATGTTTTTTTTCCATTCGCAAAGGCCCTGAGCGAAAGAAATAAACTATCTTGAACGAAGGAGAAATGGCTGAAATTTCCTTGCAAGGAGATGGTGGTTACAGGCTACCTGCTTAGCAGAATGGGATCTTCTTTGGTATGTTGGCCACCCATGTGTTCTGGAATCGATTTGTAGCTTTCGTTGGAAGGCGCAAAGCCGTTTTCGTTCCAAACGACAGGGTTCTTTCAGGGCTGAAAATGGCGACCATGCGGATCGTTGCCAGGATCTCCGAGTTGAAAATCCCTGGATTTAACCGGGGAAAAGCTCTGGATTCAATGGTAAACCCGACAGAAATACTTGATATTGGATGTTGAGAGCTGGCAGGAATTTTGACCGAAGCGTTCCACGGGTGTTTCGCAGTGGCCACTCGTCAAGATGGCGGCAAATCCGAGAGTACAAAAATTTCGACTCTGCCTATGTGCGCAGCGAATGCGAATCTCGCACGTGCAGGCAAAATCTAGCCTTCTGCAGAGCTGGGTAGAGCAAGTGTGTAGCCAGTGTAGGAACGACGACCTTTTCCGAGAGAGAATGTGGCTCTTTTTATCCCGACATTTTACTCGCCACGCTCTCCCTCCCAGCTTATTGATACGAGTATCTGCTACCGAGTAGAAGTCTCCATCTTCAGAGTAGGTGAGGCAGAATTGCAAGGTTGAAATACTTGCTCACTTGGCTTTTTGGTCCTTTGAGGTGTTGATGCGATTGTTGTGTACAACTCGAAATGACAAACTTGAGACCCCGCGCCACAAAAAAACTAAGGTGCGCGACAAAGTTTCGTTTGGCTGTTCAATGAAAGGACGTATGGAAGCAGGGATAAAAACTATCGTGGCTGCCGGCAAAACTCCTAGTAATGTAATAAACGGGGGTGTGACTTTGGTAATAGGGCTTGAAAATGATGACATCAAAACGGCCAGGGAGTAGTAAGTTGGCATGAGATTTGTATTTTGGATCCACCAAGGTGTGACTTTGCTATTGCCTCAGTATGTGGATGCATAGCAACCTACTCATGTCGCATGCAGGGGTGACTTTTACTTCGCCACCAGTTGTCACCCCGCCCCCAGTAGCCAAATCAGTCAGTTTCATTGGCTACATCACCTTGCTGTGATTAAGACCGCTTGAAATGTGCTTGGACCCATACAAAAACTGGATCCAAGTGGATCCAGTTTTGAATTTTTGAAATTGTTGCTATGCTGTGACGTAGCACTTTCAAGCCCAAGGAGAATTTACGCACAGCCATTCCACAACGAAGACGAAACTACGAGCTCAAAAACCCTCCGATTTTCAAACAAACGACGCAGGAAAGAAGACATGGCCGCAGTGTTCCCGTGTGGCCTTGAAAGCACCTATTTTACTTCGATAGCGGCTAGTTCAGGGCAAATTCAGGCCCAATTCGACAGCGTCGTACCGCTCAGATTCACCCAAAACACGAGGAAATGTACGATAAATCCAAATGCGTACGCATTTTGCGTACGGGGACGACTGGCCAGAGTTCATGCACTGCAAACACCCGTGGTTCATGCTCCACGTGGCGCGAAAGGTGACGACGATCGTTCTTGTGCATTTCTGCATTTCTGACACATCGCTGTGCATATGGGCCTTTGTTGCAGCGACATCGATTGTCAGGTGTGGTCAGGGTTTTATTTGAGTAGTCGTGTGGAGACGTGGTTTGGTTCTGACAGGCAACAGGAGCGGCTCCCGAGGATAGCGAAAGGCAAATCTACTCAAATCCGACTTCTCGATCGCCGATCTTCTGGCGCGTTTTCACTTATGCTCTGCAACAAACGGCACAATCGTCAGATGATATGAGCCTATCAGTGTGCCCAGAACCTCTAGTGACTCTACTGAGGCATTAGCTTGAGTAATCATTCTCTCTAGCTCTCTCTCTCTCTCTCTCTCTCTCTCTCTCTCTCTCTCTCTCTCTCTCTCTCTCTCTCTCTCTCTACCTCTCTCTTTCTCTCTGAAAATGTTCCGAACTTCAAAATCAAGGTCGAGCTGCATCGGGAAGTCGTCAGAATACTGACTCTCTGAGCCGGTTTTTGGTGAGCAGTGTCCGCGCTGATATCCCTAGACATAACCTAGGATTCGAACCCGCACTATCGCCTGCATGCATTCCCCCGATACACTTCGCATACATACTCATTCATCCAAGTTGCTTCACGTTATGATCTTGCATTTGAAATCCCTATTTGAATATTTTGTCCAGCTGTATTTGATGGTACTGTACAGGATAGCGCCAGGCATGCCGACGACACAAACACGGAATTTAAGCTGTGTGGACCCTGGCTAGCGCCAGACGTTACTGAAGTAACGTCTTTTGCATAGCTACGGGAATAAATCCACCTATGTGCCGAAAGCAGTGCAACGTCTCTTGCGGTAACTGTGGTCCTGGGATAAGTTTTGGAAATTGAATGATGTAGTTGAAATGGAAACACGGCACTACTTTTTGACCCGCGGATCAGATTTCTTTGGCCACGACTGTAGCGAGGTAGATACACAGTGGAGGGTCAAAAAGACCAAACGAAATGAGTATAATTATGCACTCCATGGCCATGAAAAGAAAATTGTTAATAGATATGAAGAACTTGACAAGATAACAACTGCAAAGAAAGGGAAAGACAGAGAGAGAGAAAACTGTTCGCAACAAAATCAATGGTGCTTGAGCCTCTATTAGCGAGAAGGATTTTGAACTACCTCGACCGGTGCTGGTAATAATCATAATACCAATTTTCAATCTCAATTAGCAGTACACAGACTGCTGCACTATCGTATCCCAGTTGGTGTATGCGCTTACAGTCAGTAAAACGGCTAGTTACCCTTCAATTCAACTTCAAATATCTTTGAGAGTCTGACGAGTTTACTCACCTATGCTCACTTTATTTTTTGATGTTCACTTTCAAGGAAGGATTGTGTGCGTGCCTGTGTGTTTGGGTGGGTGTTTGCATGCATGTGCCTTTTCCGTGTGCTGCCCGTGTGTGTGTGTGTGTGTGTGTGTGTGTGTGTGTGTGTGTGTGTGAGTGTGTGCGTGCATGTACGTGCATGTACGTTTGTGTCTTTGGGTCTGCATCTATGTCAGGATCAAAATGTTGACTCCAATAAGGTGGTGTGTGCATACTGGAATGTCACAGAGAGTAAGTATAGTTAGTTTTCCGTAACCCTTCTTCCATATTCTTTTTTGAAGAACTTGTACTTGTGTTGATCTCTAGTGAAGTGCATCATGTGAGGCCTGTTTTGATATGGTGCTATTATGCATATTTAGCATAATTATGTATATGTGTGCGTGCGTGCATGTGTGTGCGGAAGGGGCGAGGGGCGAGTATAAGTGCATGACTGTACAAAATGTCTGCTTACATATTTATGTATTTGTTTATGCTCAGGTGAATGGCTGACAAATGGCTGCTGGCGCAGTGAGGTGAACAACACGCATGTGTCTTGTGAGTGCAACCACCTCACTAGCTTCGCTGTGTTGATTGTAAGTCACCGAATTGGATGTAGCAAAGTACACGATTGTTGCCCCAAGGTGTATGCCAGCACCCAATACGGGGTGGTGGTCATCTGAACAAAAAATCCCACATTGCCTAGCCTTCCTTTTGTGCCTGGGATAGAGCTATGCTTGCTTTTTAAACTCAAGTCTTGCCTTTTGCGGGAATTTGTACATCGGTCAGCTCTTAGCAAAACGTTATCTAGGTAGACTAATGTGACAAGATGCAGAGAATAACCGATGGCAATAAGTGAGTGATACCTTGTGCACATTAGGAGATATTTTGGCAGCAAGCCATGCAAGCAGTAGCAGGTTATGGTGTAGAGTAAAACCTGTAACTAAAGACCGGCACCGTGACTAGCGACCAGCCTGGTACTAACGACCACTTCGCCAGGCACGGACGGTCTCACATTCAAAATTCACTGTGACTAGCGACTAACAGTTACCTGCTGAACGCGCCCAGCGACCGCCTTTTCTTGTCCCAAAGACGATTTTTGACCCGTAACTAGCGACCGCGATGTAGGAAATCAAAAGTTGCTCGAAGCTCCTTCTTGAAATTTTGATGATTTTCCGTGGTCCTGAAAGGAATCTTTCGATACCACAGCTGAAGAAATGAACGCAGGTCATTTTGACTGTGGAGTCGGTGTGGACTGCACTATACCTGTCAGAATTTCAAGCGATGTCAAGAATAAACATGATAGGAAACGCGCATCGAAAGCGCTCTCTGATCGATGTTATACTACTCGGAGGAGAAAGGAAGACTGAGCGGCTCTGTCACCCCAGTCATACAGACGAATGGACGATAGCATCAAGGAATCCAGAAACAAAGCAGCACCGCAAGGTCCTGATGCTGAAGGATCGCGTTCAAGCAATCGAGAAGTCGCAACAAGGACAGTCGGTACGATTGATCGCATGAACAAATTTGAAGCCCAGCGCAAAACAAAACTTCCACAGGGAACGTTTGACTCCTGGCTTCAGAAGTAGGAGCTGAATTTGATGTCCGCAAAAAAATTAATCTCTCTCTCTCTGGCTCTCTCTATGTCTCTCCGTCTTTCTCTCCAAGTGTTGTTTGACCTGAAATAAGAATGGCATTGCGCAAGTCTTGGGGAATTGTATTAGCTGCATTTTGATATACATATATGGTCGCGCGGTGCAAACCTCTAACTAAAGACCACCTGCTACTAAAGACCGCTTTTGCTGGCACCAAGGGGTGGTCGGTAGTCACAGGTTCTACGGTATGTGCAAGTTATACCCGAGCACCGATATACTTTTGAAGTAGACATTTTACAAGGCTAAGCTACCACACTTAGGTCAACTAGGGGTGAAAGTATTACATAGTAGGGAGGTTCTGCTATACGTGAAACGTAGAGCAATCATGTAGAGAGGAGGCGTCTGGGTTAGAGTCTACGGCTTCGCGTGTTTTGGGTCCAGATTTCTATGCGTAGATTAGGTTCTCTACGTTGTGGCACACACAAAGAAAATGCGTACGGATCCGCTGGGTATCATTCGAGTGGAGGCAGAAAACTGCCAAATATGGAAGGGGAAATTCCCAGTACACATTCCACGTGACTTCTCTACGTGAACGTAGAGCAGAACAGGATTTCTTTACGTTACGGGAATGCGAAGAGAGTTCCCTTGATTCTTTGCGTCGCGTTCCCATGACGTAGAGCAGAACCTCCCTTTTATCACTCTTCTATCGCCCTCCACTAATTCTTATGATCCTTGACTGGTCCTATATTACCCATATCGCCGTAATATCGACCGCTTGTATCGACCGCTTGTATCGACCACTCAGGCATTGTAATCTTTTGACTTTGGAGGGACTAGAAATTTACTCTCCACTTCAAAAAGAAAATTTGAAAGAAAGAAGACAAAGGAAGAGAACAAGCAGAATTCGAACCCACAACAGCATGAATCTCAAGCAACCCCTTATACCAACCAGCCACTGTTCTGCAGATGCTGAACCCTGATATTCTTACAGTCTTTTACCCAAAATAGGCAACATCCTATGTACACTATAGTGCGAATGCTATACTAAAATGGCTAAAATGGCTCCTAAAGGATCAAATTTGGGGGTTATGGCAAAAGAATCGTGATAAATAGGATATTGACCTCGACTTGGTCTATATGGGAAATATAGACCTCGTCTTGGTCAATATATTATACACATTGTATTCGACACATGGGCATGCAGGTGGGCCCTTGCAATTCAAGACAGAAAGAAGACTGGTTCAAACTGCTCAAGATCTTTTCAGCGCTTGCACGACGTTCTATGTCATTAATAATGACTTATTAACATGACAACAGCGAAACATTCAAAAATAAAATAATATTATTACAGTCAGACCTCGCTTAACCGCACACATCTGTTTTCCACAAAAACATCCGGATAGGCGAGGTAACCGGATAACTGAACACACATACTGTATATGCATGTGGCATGTCAAAAGCAGTGACATCATACATACATGTAGACGGGTCCTATGCAGTACAACTAGCGGGCCCAGTATGTAAAACAAGCGAGAAAAATGACAAGTGCATGCAACTGGTGCTGTCCGCACACACCCAGCAGGTCAAGGACCTCATTTGCTTGTACAACTCATTGATACTAGCTTCTGCAGGCGCTAGCCAGCCACGTGCAACCGGATACGACGAAGCATTTTGTACACATTTTAACCAGTTTGTACACAAAAACATGCACCGGTATGCGGATCGCGAGGTCCGGTTATGTTGTATGCATAACATATGCTGCACATCGGTAACCAGCGATTTTCTTCCGGATGGCGAGGGATCCGGATAAACGAGGACCGGATAAACGAGGTCTGACTGTATACAGAAAAGAACAAACACACAAAACACACATTGCAGATGTTCGTTGTTCGAAAGAACACTGCTTCTTCTTTTTTTCGGCAAACAAGAATCATACACTTCCTTATCCAAAATCGAATCAGCCTGTCAAAAACATTATTTTTGGTTTTAAGAACTCAGATCGCATAACGTGTGCCCACATTTTTCCATTTCACAATTTTTTGTTTTGTTTTGCTTTCTCCAAAGATTCCAGACCAGACATCTCTTAGTGAAATCCTCACTATCATCAGCTACGCATTGTGTTCAGTGTCCCTGGTGTGCTTTCTAATCACTATCATCGTGTTATCCGCTTTCAAGTAAGTATCCTTCCTCCTGCCAAGTCAATGACTGAAGATGAACGCCAGTAAAAGAATGCATGTTGCTGTATGGTCAAGCTCTGCCACTGGCATGGCCTACCTTTCAAACAGTAGAGCACCCTGCGCATGCCTGTGTCAATAGATGACTTGCACAAAGATCCGAGCCGCGAGTGAGACGGGGCAAGTGCACCCACCCAGGCTACACTGCGGGCACCCTACACCAGTGTCCACCGTCTGTAGATTCTGTAGATTTTTGTCAGCATGAATGAACGGTGCACGGCATGTACATGTACATGATCAGTACCGTCACTGTCTTCAGTAGCTCATGAGTCATGCATGTGCACTTGTTGTAGGGTTAGTGGAAGCAGGTATTGTACTACTCCCTGAGTGGAAGTACATGACTGTATTATTATGTGAAGAGAAGCCAGGCGTCCAAATCAACCCAAAATACTCTTGCCTTATTCTTCGGTGAAATAGATAAAAAAATTGTCTTACTAAACAACAGTGAGCATAGAAGCAACCTCGATGCACCCAATAATATGGCATCCGGGAACAGCAAGTGTGGCACGAGGATCCCAAGAACACGTCAAGTTCCATGCTACCCGCCGCCATCAAAAGAACGAAGGATAACTGTGCTAGCCTAGTTCATATTCAATGTAACGCTAACGGTACGGGATATATGAGCCTGTTGGGAAGGCGTGGGTGAGCTGTAAAATCTTGTACGGTTCGCACTGCACAACATACATGCAGCAGTTATTGCGACAGTTAACGTCGATGGACGAGAGTCATCAAGTCCATGGGGGTTGACGTTTCTGGGCTTCCTTTCCGAAAGGAAAGTTATATTTCTTCTCAAAAGAGCAGAATCATGCTAATTATACCAATCTGTTATGAAGACAAGGAAGCAGCCATGGACATTGTGCCATACTAAAGGAACAACAGGAAAAGATAAATCACTTCATCTGAAAACTCAAGGACTATCCATAAATACAGCAAATGATAATCCTAGCCTGGTAATGTCCAACTCCGTCATGTGAGCCATTCGGCGAGTTATTATGAGAAGCATAATGTTCGAAATGCTGAAATTTGAACAGTTGCAGTTGTGTTCGTCGCCACACAATGCCATCGCCAGTTCACATTCGAAATGTAGCCATTTTTACGCTTGTGTCCCTGTACACGGCATGGAAGGCTGAACAGATTCAACAGGACAGGAAAAGATAAATCACTTCATCTGAAAACTCAAGGACTATCCATAAATACAGCAAATGATAATCCTAGCCTGGTAATGTCCAACTCCGTCATGTGAGCCATTCGGCGAGTTATTATGAGAAGCATAATGTTCGAAATGCTGAAATTTGAACAGTTGCAGTTGTGTTCGTCGCCACACAATGCCATCGCCAGTTCACATTCGAAATGTAGCCATTTTTACGCTTGTGTCCCTGTACACGGCATGGAAGGCTGAACAGATTCAACTCTTCCATCGCTTCCTGATCTGTACAGTAGTGCGGTTGCGTTCCCGTTCCTGACACTCACATCCGTCTCCGCTAACCAGCATCATGAGCACTCCAATGGTTCCCTCCGCTCCTTCCGTATCGTCCCAGCGCGCCCCGTCAAAATGTGAATTACTGTAGGCAACGGAGCCAGTGTATGATGAAGGCGAATGCACTGTTTGATGATGCTCCAACAAATCCTTTCTGAGACTGAGACCCAGCCGGAGCCGCATCGTCGTCATTACCAGCTGATCATGGGGAGGTATAATGTGACACCACTCCCTGATTCAATCATATTTTGCGAGCCTGCGCCAAACTGCTTTCTCACTAGAGCCAGGCATTGGATACATATGGCTTCAGTAAGGTTTACAATGCTATGTCTCTGGCCTAAGTCCAAGTCTAGATACAGCTGCTCAGAGTCAGGGCTGATGAAGTGTTCATATCGGAACAAGTGAGACTTCAACAGTAGCTAGTACACATTAGGCCTGAGGACTTCGCAGCGTTTCTCCAGCACACTTGTTCTCTCCTTCAACTCAGATACTACTTGAAGTACTACTAAAGGCCATCTGGCTCTCACACTCAGTCCTTGCACCCCTCATTTTCGTGGTTTGGGCTTCCACTCGTGACTCGGCAGGTTCCTGGCCTCTCCGCAGTCTGTCCTCAGGAGAGAGTCGCTCTGGATCTAGTGCAGCCGAATCGAAGGGAATCGAGTTCTTTCTCAGACGTCCACAAACTTTCGTTGTGCTCGACTTCGCTTCCACTGCGGGAAAGTAGTCACACTTCAGGACCACGACGTGCTTGTTGCAGCCTACACCAAATCAATGATACTAAAAATATTCCCTCATTTTTCTGCCTCCCGGCCGGCAGGCTCGGAAAGGAACGTATGGAATGGGAGCCTCAGTTCCATCTCTCGTCTGCTAGTGCATTCAGGAGCGTAGCAGCGCTTCGGCATGACGATACAAGCGGAATCAAAACAACTCTACTCTCTAGCCAAAAAAATTCCTCAGGCAAAAAGCGAAACTTCGAAAGTCACGAACTCAAAAGGTGGGGAAGTCAGAGTCAGAAGGTCCACTTGCCCCGTCTCGAACCCAGACAATCTTTGTGCAAGTCATCTATTTGATACGGCATTAACTGCATCACCATGTGCCATCTCTCAACACAGAGCAAATTTTTTTAAATGCTAGCATTCTGTGTTTGTTGGATTCTGGATCTGGGAGACTTAAGGCAACAGTCACTAGGTATAAGGATTACTGTGGCGAGACAAATAACTTTGTGTCTTTTCCTCTGTTCCTTTCTTATAAAACAGAAAACTACGCAAGAAGAGGTTTCAGCTGCTCATTCTTCAGATAAGCGTGCCGTCGTTCGTTACGACTCTGCTAGTCATGTTCACACATAAGACGAGCAACGCGATGGCATGCAAGGCAGTGGCTGTATTGCTGCATTTCAGTGTACTGTGTATGTTTTCCATGATGGCCATAGCCTGCTCAGAGCTGCACCGGGGTGTTGTCCACGTCTTTGACCGCACGAAGAAGAGTAAACTGAGAAAGTATGCGTGGCTCATTGCCGCAGGTAAGGGAACTGTCAATGCTAACAGTTTGGTGCCACTGTACCTTTTTCTACTGCTTGTGGATATGGTATCAAAAGTTATGATTTGCATGGCATGTTCCATTGGTAACTGGCCTTACTGGTTGGAGTCTGTTGTCAAAGTATAATTGTAGAGGTTTTCAAGAGGCGACAAAGTGGGATTAGTGTGGAGTTAGTATGCATGATGATTTTACTTTTAAAACTACAAAAAATGGCTGATAAGTAGATGCACAAAGACCATATGGGTCATTTTAAGATGATTCATGATTCTGTTGAGGAGTGAAAGGTACCAGGATCAAGTCCTGCTTGAAAGCGGGTGGAATATTCCAACCCTGCTGTATCCAACTGTGAATTGCAAGATTGCAGACTGGCACAATGTTTTTTTTACATGCAGCATATAGGATGTTTCGGAGGCGGGATGTTATTCCCAGTTCAAGTACAGTAGCCTTGCCGAGGGCTTTGCCAGGCACACTAATCCGCTGCTACGTTGCGTATCCGTGTGAGGTCGCTTATGTCCGAAAGTTGTCCCCTCCCCCCCTTGGGTCATATCTGTCTTCATCATACCCACACTGGTTGTGCAGGGGCGTCCTCGATATGCAGCCCAATCACTTCGACAGGTGGTTTCGAAATGCACTGCCATGGCTTGCTGCACGGGAGTGTCACGTGGGAGGCGGAATGCATCAAGACCAAAGAGTCGCTGACGGTGGCGTTGAATCATGCTCCACACTGGCTCAGTGTTACATGGCTTGTGCAGTGTGGTGTTAGATATGTGCTTGGGGTATCTCATGTTGATCACTGTCCGGATTTGAGAATGATGAAACGTGTCCATCTTGGATGGTTCAGCTCGCGTTTGTCACCAAGTACCGCTATTGTATATAATATATAAGAACTCAGTGGACTACTAATCCCACCTTCGAAACAATACATCGAAAACAATAGAATTATCTCTGGATGTTGTTGGCTTCTTCGCCTTCTTGTTCAATTGGATTGTACCTGATCGTTCTTTCTTTCTCAACACAAAGTTCTGCACTGTACGCTTTTTTTATTATACCTAATAGGTGGTGTCCTGAATGGCAAAAGCAAGAGTGGCAATCCTACCACACTTGCGTGAATGCACTTAATAATACACTGAGTAATAAATAGGATGTCACCTATATAGCTATGGCATCTGGTTGGTGGATCTAATCTATCCTCCCCCACCGTGCAGGGGTGTCGGGAAGGTATTTTTAAAAGGTTGCATTTGTTCGGTCATTCCCGAATGGGCATGGAATGACGTCGGTACCCATCGCGGAATCGGAATGAGCGTAGCAAACAAACGCGTCGGCATGGATTCGAGAATCTGGCAAACGTTTTGCGCCACTCTGGAAATGTATTACCTGTTGTTTGCACAAATTGCAGCCTTGCGAAGACTACTACAGTGCATTTCAAAACTATAGACGCGTAGGGTTTTTGAAATATTTCAAATTTGGCTGGAACTTTTTGAGAATAGTTTTCGGAATATTGCTCAGGACCGCTCCACAATTACTCTCATATAGTTTCTAAACGATTGGATAACAGACGCCCAATTTGGAAAAATTTATGCACAAAGTGATCACAGATTTTATGTGGTATAGATGCTGGCATAACGGTTTTTGCCTAGGTACGCGTCTATAGTTTTGAAATGGACTGTACATGCCAGTACTGGTAGTTGCTATTATGCTTCCGTAAGTTTCTGCATGTCCCTACGACAGTCATGATGAAGGAGCGGCCAAACACGGCGTAGATGAACGAGCGATCGTAACTAGGGTGCCTGCAGGCGGCTTTGGCCGCTACTTCATCATGCTATACGACCTCGTATCAGTCACAGAAACGTCTCTAGCTCTCGTGTTTATTTGACAGAGACGAGGCACAGTTGTAAGAAGAAGTGAAGTGGCAGGCTCGGTGCCTCTTTGGGTCACTTTGTTCTGGCTCGCCCTCCCTATGATTCTAGAGGCCCTGCTCGACGACGATGAAGAGCTGAGGTGCGAGGGGGCATATTTCCAGTTCATCAACGATCCCGGGCGAACACTTTATCAGGCGGCGAAGGGTCAAAATACCACGAACAAGTTACTATGCCGTCCCGGAGGTTACAGTACCAACCTATACCCTGGACGATGTCCGCCAACATTTCTGTATATCAATAATCGCGTTTTGTTGGGGAGGCCATAGTATGCAGCAACGACAAACTTCACGAAGCCCTCCGCACATTTTCATTCCGCTCGGAATGAGCCCTCATTCCACTTTTTCTTAGGAATCGCCAGAATCGATTCTGCCCCCTTCATTCCGCGACCGGAATCGGAATTGCACCGAACAAACGCTGTCCAGTGCATCAAACAAACGCTCCGGAATCAAAGCACGGCGGAATGACTTTGGAATGGTGGCGGAATGGCACCGAACAAACGCAACCTTAGTGTGGTACGGTCAGCCATCTGAAGTACAACTTATTCATGTGGGAGGGGGGCTGAGCTGAATTTTTATTGAAATCTAGAGACCAGATGACGGTGTATTTTGTTGATTCACGGGGTACCTGGGTTAAAAGGTCGTACAGTCAATACCGTAGTGACCGTACCGTGTCTGATGCCCCTGCCGTGTAGGAGCAGCATTTGTTACCTGTCCATGACGTGGTGGCGTCCCGTGAAAGCAGATAAGGAGAATATTGACCTGCCAGGCATGCAGATTCATTATACCTGCTCATTATATCTTCACTGAATCCCAAGGCAGGTGGCTGGTTCAACCTTGCTATGTTTCATATATCTGATGAAAAAGGGAAGGTGAAACGAAAGAAAAGGAACCTCAGAAGAAGAAGAAAATTGAAATCTGTGCTTTCCATGATCTCAGAAATCCAGCCTATTCGGACAACGGTTGCTTGATGTTAGACTTGTGAACAGTGAATAGATTGTGAAAAGTGAATGAATTTAAAAGGAGGATAATTGGCGAAAAGGTACTTGGCTTTGAAATTTTGCTGGTTTCACTGTTCTTTGATTTCATTGCGTGATCAGGTGCATCTGCTGTGATCGTCATCACAGTAGCGTCTAGCACCAAGATGGATGGCTATGGCTCAAAAACAGTGTAAGTCATATCACACCACTGCATACATGGCAGCAGTATAATTAGTACATTTGGTGAAAAATACCAACAAGAAAACATATACAAGTACCAGCCAAGCGATTACAGTACAGTAGAACACAGCTACATAACGGGAATGACTCCCAGAGGAGAACTGATACCTCACTGCACAAAGAGCGAGCTGATCAATCTCTGGGTCATGCGAGTTAAGCGAGTCTTGGAGTCAAATGTCCAATCGGTCAGCATTTAGTGGCGCTGTGAATCACTGGCACGTTGTGAAATGGCATAATTGGGTACATGTACACAAATCGATACCAGTAACAGTATATTTGGAACCATGCTGCACACCCCAACTCAGATGACTTGACAATATCAATTTTTTAACAACATGTAAGTCTGAAGGAGGTGAAAGCAGAAAAAGTCTGAGGAAAAAATTGAATGCCACCAGCCGGGGTATGTGTGTAGCCTGAACCTGTGATACTTCGCAGTACCATAGGTGTTCGTGCAGCTACCCAGCAATCTGCACAGATACGAATTTCCTCTAGACCTGATACAATTCTGTTTGTGTTTGTGGTCATCCTCTTCAGATGCTGGTTCAATCGAGACGGAGCGATGCGATACAATGCAGTGTTTTATGGAACATTTGCAACACCACTGGCTTTAATGTTGATCCACAACGCTTTAATTTGCTGCAAAGTTTTATCACAAATTACAAAGCGCTTGAAGCGGGAATCTCATCGCCAAAAGATGCAACAGATAAAAAACTTGATTGCAGCGATTACCACCATCTCCACTGTGATGGGTTTATCGTGGATTCTTGCCTTTCTGCTTCTGGTCAGTCAACACTTGATCACACAGATTGTGTTTGTAGTGGTCGAGTCACTTCAAGGTGTGGCTATACTCCTGCTTTTCATATTCCGTTCCCGTCAGGTGCGCAAGACCTTTAAAATGTGGCGCACCAGAAGACAATCAGCTAGTCTTGCATTGCAAGGCATTTCAATGCAAAGTCGACCTTCCGTGTCAACCACAGCCCGATTTTCACTGTCGTCACTATCAATGTCGTCGCCTACTCGTACAGCCCGATTCTCACTGTCATCACTATCATCTTCGTCTACACCCCGTTTGTCAATCTCGTCACAATCACCGTTGGCAGTTGACAATGTGCATACTGGGAAACAAAAGCGTCGTTCAGGGTCTTCCTCGGAACCAACATCTATATATAGCTTCTCAGAGGCAACAAGTGCCAATAATGACCAGGACGTGTTCAAACCATGCACCATTGCCACCAATCCGTATATACAACAAGATACGTCGCTACCTGTCGTGCCAAACCAGTCTTCTCAGAGTGTCGAAAACACGCTTTACAGTATCAGGGAAACATCATGACATCTGTCTCAATCAGTTTTAGTAGTTTTAGCTTTCTCTTACTACTACAATCCCATCTAGAATGAAAGTGCACAATTATAATTCCAACCGTCCAGCAGATCAAGAACAACTCTTGTATTGAACATGCCAATCTTTGTGATTTTAAACTTATTGCCAGGTAGTATCCTGATCTGCATACCAGATTTAAGCAAGTTTATCATCAGTTTATTTCCTTTGCAAAATCAAATTCTCTCCAGTTGTAGTCTTTGGGGTGCTGAGTCGAATGTTCTTGGTCGGAGGAAGCTGAGACGCTCCCTTCCTCCTATAATCCCATTCGAACCCGCCACTTCTACCCAACCTGACTGACTGCGCCCTACTAAATGGGGATCTGTATGCCTGAATATCACTAAAAGCACCTTTTCATTCTTAGAAATGCACGGATGACTGCGATTGGCCTATATGTTGTAGTCTTTTGGACACTGGGTCGACTGGTTTTGGTCCGAAAAGGCTGCAATGCAGCGTTCGGCCCTTATTCCCAATCGAACACGGTTTGAGTAGCGGTCAGGTGCTCGTGCGTACACCTGTTTCCTGCTCGCTTTGCCTGCAGGCAACAACCTTCACACCAACCTTCACACCAAGGTTCAACTCAAAGGTTCAAGTCAAGTGACAGAAACGCGCCCGAACAGGCTGCAAGTTGTTGCCTGCGGGCACGGTGACCAGGTGACTTGTGTACGCATTGAGCACGTGACCGCCTGCCCAACCGTGTTCGATTGGGAATAAGGGCCGGACGCTGCATCACAGCCTTTTCGGACCAAAACCAGTCGACTCAGCGTCCAAAAGACTACAACATTATGGGCCGTTCCTTTATGAGAACAAAATGGTGCTTTTAGTGACATTCTGCATACGAATCTCCACCTAGTAGGGCGCAGTAACCCAGTTTTGGTGGAAGTGGCAATTTCGATTGGGAAAAAAGGAGGAAGGGAGAGTCTCTGCTTCATCGAACCAAGACCTTTCGACTCAGCACCCCGAGGACTACAGCTGGTGAAAATTTATTTTTGGGTATACTTCCCCTTTAATGACCAGTGTGCCATGCGTTTTGGCATGTGCGTATGAACAAAATGGAATACAGTTTCATTTTTTTCTTCCACAGTGTGTCACTTTGACGTGAACATTGCCAGTATGAAGTCCATGTAAGAGTATTATACAAGCCTCATGCCTTGAAGTCATGAACTCTACAGTCAACTGATTCCTTCAATCACGACCAGCTGCTGTTTAGAAAACTTCAAATGACCATTTCAGATTTTCGTGGTGATTCTTTTCTCTATTTCACAATAATTGTTGTGTCACTGCTATTGATTATGGCCATGGGCTGTTATAAACATTGTATTATACTTGTTGCATGTGCTTCTTTAAATGCACCCTCCTTCTATTTCTGACTACTGAAGATTATTCTGTGCATTGATGTGATGGCGTGTGTTTGTGTGTGGACACGTGTGTGGGTACATGTTCGTACGTGCGTGTGTGTGTGTGTGGTGTGTGTGTGTGTGAGTTTGTGTGTGTGTGTGTGTGAGTTTGTGTGTGTGTGTGTGTGTGTGTGTGTGTGTGTGTGTGTTGTGTGTGTGTGTGTCTGTGTGTGTTAGTGTGTACCCAGACATTCGCTCTGATCTGAAGCTAGCATCTGTGAACTCTGCATTGCCTCTTCGAGGTATCGGTCAAGAAAGTCAAAGTATGTGTGGATGTGTGTGTGTGTGTGTGTGTGTGTGTGTGTGTGTGTGTGTGTGTGCACGCGTGTGTCACAACGAGTGTGCATGTGTGTGTGTGTGTGTATGCATATGTATTCCGGCATGTGTGCATGATTGCGAGCATGTGTGTGTGTGTGTGTGTGTGTGTGTATGTGTGTGTGTGTGTGTGTGTGTGTGTGTGTGTGTGTATGTGTGTGTGTGTGTGTGTGTGTGTGTGTGTGTGTGTGTGTGTGTGTGTGTGTGTGTGTGTGTTTGTATACTACTCAAGGGCGATTCACGTGGTTTCCACATGATTGTGGATTGGCCAGATACTTGGTGAAAATATCAATTTTGATCATTTGTTTGTTTGTGTGAGCGCGCACGCGCGCTTGTGTGTGTATGTGCACGCCTGGGTATGTACACATAGGTGTTTAAAGGTGTGTCTGCGAATGGGTGTGTATGGATGTGTGTGCGTGCAGGTGTGTGTGTGTGTGTGCGCGCGTGAGCGTGGTGATTGTGTGAGTGTCCACGCTTCAGATCCGCTATCGTTGCTATAAGAGAAAATCTGCGGGTGCACATCCAGTGCATTTGCAGATTTGCGCGCTTCTCTTGCGACGGGCGTATACATGGTACATGGTGTGCGTGCGTCTGTGTGTGTGTGTGTGTGTGTGTTTGTGTGTGGGGGTTTATGTGTGTGTTTGTGTTTGTGCATGTGTGTGTGTGTGTGTGTGTGTGCGCGTGGTGTGTGTGTATAACCATACTCTCGCAATTAGAGCCCTCTCTTGAATAGTGCCCCTGTCTCTGAGAGCCAGTGAGAAAACAGACCTCTCTTGAATAGGGCTTGAAAGTGATGACGTCAAAACGGCCAGGGAGTAGTAAGTTGACATCAGATTTCTATTTTTGGATCCACTAAGGTGTGACTTTGCCATTGCCTAAGTATGTGGGTGCATAGCAACCCACTCATGTCGCATGCAGGTGTGACTTTTATTTCGCCACCAGTTGTAACCCCGCCCCCAGTAGCCAAATCAGTCAGTTTCACTGGCTACATCACCATGCTGTGGGTAAGACTGCTTGAAATGTGCTTGGATCCATACAAAAACTGGATCCAAGTGGATCCAGTTTTTGAATTTTTGAAATTGTTGCTATGCTGTGACGTAGCACTTTCAAGCCCTATAGTGCCCTCCTCAGGCTTGTAGTCAAGTGGATCGGCAAGTTTGGTACTGTTTTGCTAGTGTTCTGGAGTTGTCAATTGCCCTAGTAGAGTTGGGATCAAAATCACAATTCTTCTTCTTTGCAGTTTCTGTTGAATCAACCATGATACTCCAGTAGTAGTTTCGCAAAGTAATTTATCCTTCAGAAGTAGTAAACTTTACACTCTCCTTTTTTTCTTAATTTTTATATTAATGGTGGATGACGTTAAACGTACCAGGATTTAAAAAATGCCTTTCTTGAACAGTGCCCCATCTGCGATTAACTTTGAAAGAAAAGTGCCCCAGGTCAGGGGCGCTACCGTAGTTCCGCGCCTATAAGCCCA